ATTCCTTGTTCGCACCGGCATTTAATTTGGTCCTGTCTGCTGAACCATTGAGTCACCGTGATTTACAACTTCCTACAATGCTCTGCCGGGTTAGAGTGTGGGGGGCCCTTGGGGTAGGGGACTCAACCTTTGGGAGAAGAATTACCTATTTAAATACGCAAATTCAACCTTCAATTATCTATGCATAAACAATTTCAATATAATCTTGCCTTAATATACTTTAAAGTACTTATTTAAAAAAAAAACATTGGGCATTATCTCAATCGCGCAATGCGCGTAAAAAACTAATAAAGAAGATAAATTGCACTAGAAAAATCATGCGGACGTGCGATGGGCTCTATCAATTAAGAGGATATATGTTAACAAGAATTTAGACTGTGATTTTCTGATACGAGAATCATGTTCTAGTGTTCTACCCACTGCACTATTCTAAGTACTCTTTACGGAGCCATAACCAAATATTTTTTATGATAGGGTAAGAATTATTTATTATATTAAATAAAGTGCTTAAAGTTTTCACTCTTTTGTCTTTGGCAAGGAAAAAAAAAACAGAAAGACTTATCTTTGAGACTTCATTACTTCAACTACTCCAATTTATTTGAAAAAAGTTTAATTAAAAAAACCTTTTTCTAATTGACTGCATGCCACCTAAAACACAAGCCACAATATCAAGAAAAGCTGTTGGAGCATTTGCCATAATTTTGGTTATGCCACAAATTTGTATAACACTGTCTCACTGGTTCTTGGTCTTAACATGGGTCGGGTCAAGATAAAATATAATAGTTATACTAAAAAATGTAATGCTAATAAAGAATAAAATATTTATTATTTATATAAAAAGTGTAATACTTTTGAAGAAAAAATATACTCTTTTTAGATTTTGATTTAAAAGTATTATATTTTTTCTCAAAAGTATTAAAATTTTCCTTAAAAATAACATGAAACACTTGTGAATATTACTTTTAAATAATACTTTTAAAATACATTACTCCGTACATAATAAGACAATAAAGAGACGGGTGCGGAATCTTGACTTACATAAAAGTTACTAATCAAATTTGGTGAGGTAACCTAAAAATAAGATACGAGTATAATGTGGAAAATAATGGACATGGACAATTTTTACGTAAAAATTGTAAATAGGAATGCCAATCAAACAATTCTTATGCCATGGAGGTGGACCCACGTTCAAAATGGTGTTATTTTGCTTCAAAACGATGCCGTCTGAAATTTAAAAAAAAAATTAAAAAATTACTCTATTTCTTGCCGTTAACTTGTCGTTTGTCTTCAGAATTTGTTGCTCTATATTCATAATTTTTGAACTCTATATTCATAATTTTTGAACTCTATATTCATAATTTTAGAACTCAATATACAAAATTACAGAACTCAATTTTCACAATTGCAGAACTCTATATTCACTATTTCATAACTCTATATTCACAATTTCATAACTCTATATTCACTATTTCATAACTCTATATTCACAATTAAAGAACTCTATATTCACTATTTCATAACTCTATATTCACAATTAAAGAACTCTATATTCACAATTACAGAACTCTATATTCAACAGTATAACACAATTTTTGAATCTATATTCACAATTCTTGAACTCTATATTCAAAAAAAAAAAAAAAAAAAAAAATTGACGGAAGAAACGGTACCATTATTTCAGACGCGCGTTTTGAACCCAAGTTCACCTTACAATATGGACACGAGTCCACAACATAATTTGCCCCAATCAAACTAGCTCACTCGATTTTGGATCAGCCTACTCAGACAATTAGGCTTGTCTGTTTTGACTTAACAAAGCCGATTTTTTAAGGAGTTTTGAGTGTAAAATATATAACTAAAGTTTTTATATTAATAATTTTTTATTTAAAATTTTATCAAATAAAAGTTAATTTATTCACATTTATAATATACTCCCTCTGTCCCATTTTGTATGTCTTACTTTCCTTTTTAGTTTGTCCCAAAATGTTGTCCTCTTTCCAAAATTGAACATCACCATCATTCTACTTTTTCCCAAATTACCCTTATGACTTTTGCTTTTATTTTCAAAAGTGAAGGGCATAATTGGAAAATACGTAGCATTTACTTTAATTCCTTAAAAAGCGTGCAAAAAGCAAACGAGACAACCAATTTGGGACGGAGGGAGTAGTAATTATAACCCAACATGGTAGCTCAAGTGGTAAAGGAGCTCTCTTTATGGAGGAGAATTCCCTTTAATTCTCACAAATGACGATTCCCTCTGGGCCAGCTCTTGTGCCTCTTGGAGCGAACGGGGATTGCTTCCGTTAAACAAACTGAAAAAGACTCGAACCACCTCGCGATTTACACAAAAAAAAAATATATATATATATATAGCAGTTAAATAAAATTTTTATTTTCATTATTTATTTTCGTAAACAATAATTTATTTGCAATAAATTTATTAATATGTTTATTAAAATTTTATTTAAAACTTAATTAAAGAAATTAAAGAGGATCCTAGATACAAGTTCACAGGAATATTCCTTGTGAAACCCATAATTACAGTATTACTGTGTGGACCATTGAACCCTAGTCACCATTAGAGCCATTAAAATGAGCTTAGGCTGCTGGGCTTTCTCGCCCTGCCTATTAAAAGCGTGGGGTGGACTCGTGTTTTTGAAGCTCGTTTTAAAAATGAACTTTTTTGCCTGTCCCGCTTAGCCCGCGGGCTGACGGGCTAGCCCACCAGCCTGCATTTTTTTTTTAATCGTTATATATATATATATATATATATATATATATATATATATATATATATATATATATAATAGTGTCGGTTATTAGGTGACCCGGTTATTACACCCGGTTATCCGGTGAACCGATAAATAACCGAATAGCCGAATAATCAATTTTTTTTTTTTTGCCTTATAACCGATAACTGAAATTATCTGTCGGTTCAGTTATCGGTTATCGGTTTTTCGGTAATTATACTTACCCCTATTGGTGTCATTGCTGTCATGATGTGATGAACGAATTTATGTTATTTTCTTATGAATTTGTGTTTTAAGTAGATAGCAATTAAGTTATTACCATAGTCACATTAGAGTTTAGAGTTTAGGGACACATGATTAAAAAAAAAAAAAAAAAAACAGGCGGGCTTTGGCGGGGGCCCGCGGGGCGGGGCGGACTGCCCCTACCTAGGCCTGTATTCTTGGCGAGCTTTTTAGCCCGCTCCGTCAGCCCGCATTGATAGCTCTAGTCACCATACTATCAAATAATGTACATTCAGTATACAAATAATGTATTTTTAGTATATTAAAAATATATATTATATTAAAAAAAAATATACATATTATGGTCCACACAATAATTTGCCTTGTGAAACAAAAACTAGCCCTAAGCAACTCAAATAATTAAACTAGCCAATTAAATTTTGAGCTAGCTACCTACTCTGGTCATTGACTTTGTATGGGGTGTTTCGTTGGCATGAATTGCATTGGCATTGAATTGCAATTCAATGAAATGATAAACTACATTGTTTGGTTGGAGAGAATTGCAATTCACTCAATTCATTGAATTGCAATTCATAGAATTGCAATTCATAGGTCCCCACCCCACCCTCCCCCCCCCCCCCCCAGAATTGCAATTTAATGAATTCATCCATACAATGAAAAGGGAAAAAGAAGGAAATGACATATTTGTCTTTGAATGTTATTATTAATATTATTACGCAAGGATATTTTAGTCTTTATATCACTTCTTTCATTTCCATTATTCTTCCCTACCAAACAATGGAAAGAAGGAATTAAGGGGGAAATGGAATTTGTAGTTTTATCAACAGTGCCTAGCTAAACTTTACTATAGTTTTTTGGGAGTGCAATATATATCTGTACATTATGGAGAGCTTGAATTAGGAATTTTCATAGAATTTAGGATAGAGGCCTGAGGGTAGAGAGACTATTGTTGAGCTCAATGACAATGTGGTTGCCCTTTCCTTCTTAGTTGCATGACCTTTTTTTACTGGAAGAGGAGTGAAGTATTCACGCCTGCATGAGTTTAGCTCACGAGTTCAGTAGACATATTTATGAGAAAACATCAAAGTTTGAATCTCAGCAGCCACAATGTGAGGATTATGTCAAAGTGGGTAGATCCCTTGTGCTCCCAAATGTTCTGTCACGTCGGAGTGTGGGTGTGGAGCCTTTGGGGTCGATCCCTTGTGCTCTCAAATACTCTGTTGGGCCAGGGTGTGGGGGGTCCTTAGGGTGGGGATTATCTCATTGGTCTGATCAGACTATTGGCTGTAGGATGGATAATTAACAGAGTCTAGATTATTTTGACTTGGTGATTTTATTATATAGGAGTATTTTTTTTTTTTTTTAATACTATAGGAGTATAGCTTGCAAGTTGCAACAATTGTGAATTCTTTTTAACAGAAGAAATAGACATAATCAATATTGTGAACAACAAACAGCACCTAATCCGATTTTACTATTGTAATGATCAGAGTGATGAGAAGAAGACAGCATGCAAAAACCAGAACCAGCCTGCTATGCTGTCTTCAATCATGATTGATCGAAAGTCAAAATTGGAAGATGAGGAGCTTGAAAAATCATACCAGGCCACCAAATTCAAAACAAAAAACAAATTAAAGTTATGCATATATGGTAACACTAGTATACTATACTATAACTCCACCATCTCAAAGTATATGTATAATAAACTCATTTACAAACATGGATTTTAGCCCACATCTACTACATCTTCATATACAACAAGCCATTTCAATTCCTGAGCAGATCAGAGCAAAAAGAAGCTATATAAAAGAAGAAACAAAGGAGTAAGAACCAAACTCAACTCGGTGTAATGGTGTACGAGTCTTTCAACGATTCTCACTTCGCCTTTGATATATCTTATAGCCCTGCTACCAAAAAGAAAGACGTTTTTGCATACCACACTGATATATGCACTCGGCAAGATGAGACAATTGGACCTAAGCAAGATTATTATTATTATTATTATTATTATCTATCCATGGTGTGAGGCAGCTCAGGGCACTCAGTGATGCTCTCCAATGAAGGTTTCCACCCTCCAGCTCCCATCCCCAAACCTTTATTTTCTCTGCTTCTCATCATCTCCAAGTCTCCCAAGAAAGCCTGCAACTCTCCACTTCCTCTAATCTGTAGCTGAAACAGCAGCCACTCCAGTTCCTCCTTTGTCAAAACAACCTTAACTCTCATCGATTTCTCCAAACCTTTTTCCTTGAAAAACTCCCCTGCTCCTCCTTCTTGCTTTTCTCCCATCATCTCCTCCTCTTCCTGTAATGCTCTCTGTGTGCATGTCTCCATCAAATTCCCCATGATTAATTCTTCGTATCTAGCTAGTCCCCAGCCCAGAAACAGAACTGGCAGGTGATATGATTGTGGGTTCTGAAAGGGAGAAATGTTGGGGGGGGGGGGGGGGGGATTGGAGGTTTTCAAGTATAGTGCATGTGAGGGTTGGTGCATAATATGTAGACTTTTTATAGATGGATTAATTGATTTTTCTGCTCACCGTCGTGGGCCCACGCCAGTCCATTTTAGGTGTCATCTCACAACATATTAATCTGCCAATTATCAGTTAAAATTGCCTTAATCAATGGAGCTTATTAGATTCATTACGTGACAAAAATGAGTAACGTAACGCTACTTAAAGGTAAGGTGTCTCAGCATTACCGTTGAGTCTGGGCAACGGGAAAGAACATGCGTGTGAAAACAACATATGTACAACCAGGATTTGGCGTGTATGACTAGGATATTATATTCTATTCCCAGGAGCGGAGAGAAAAGGTAAGATTCTTAAAATTGTTTATGAGATTTGGAAGGACAAAACATGCCCACAAACATGTCGGTACTAAATTTCGTAGAAAGAGACAATTGCTCATTTTGCCTCCCATCGATCATCTAAACTTGCCTGCCAACCTCAAGATCCTTAAGACAAAATTATAAAAAGTTAGAGATAACCTCAATCAACTTAATTAGTCTGTTGACTTGATAATCACATCATGTTGACGTGAAGAATCATGTCCAACAATTGGTGGTTAGGGGATTGTTAAGTGGAGATTAGTTGTTGGGTGAAGGACCAAATTCAGCATCCTACCTCTGAAAAATATAGCCATATGTACAAATGAAGTTGCGTTTTCACTACGAACTATAACTTTTGGCGTGGTAAGCGTTTGATCTAACAAGTGGCATCAAAATCCAGTCATGCTTTTGGCAACGTGATAAGAGTTTGATCCTAACACATAGACTTATTGGCCTTAACCCTTAACTAGTTTTTGGCAGTGATAAACGTTTGGTCCTTGTATATCAGACTATTGACTTTAATTGTTTGTGGTCATTTTTTTACTAGGATCACAATGCGATGTTTATACCGTGCATACTTTTGGATAATAACTTTCAATTTTTTTATTTTTTTTTTAAACCAACTTTCAATTTTGTTAAAATTATTAAAATCAAAGAATATAACTTCTGGTGATATTATTAGGGGTGCAGACAGCGTGGAGCAAAACATTAAAATTTGGGTCACCCGTCACCGTATGTACGGTTTGTGTAGTTATAAGACGGTGGTTATGGTTACAAATGGCTAAGTTGAGACCTCTCATTTTGAGTGGCTACCTCCTTTCCTCCCTCCGGCCGCCGCTGACTAACTGTAACCACCCCCGTCCGGCCACCTCCACACCTTCATAATTAGACTGCTCGCCAACCGACAACCTGCCATTATCTGCAGCAGCGAAACGCAGAAAATTATATACAAATTATTAATGCATTCACTTCATCAACTGTATTCATATATAGGAACAAGCTTCAATTCTAATCTTTTTATTTTTTTATTTTTTTATTTTTAATTTATTTTATTTCTGTCAATATCAATACTATATATCTACTATATATATATCTACTATATCTATATCTATCTACTATCTATATCTACTATCTACTATCTACTATACTAATAAGAGCCCAAGAGAGTTAGGCCTATAATGGGTAGAAAAAATGGCGGTCACAGATTTTAATCAAATGAATGACTCAGATTGATTGAAAGATTGATCAGATTTAAATTTTACACTAAAATTTCCTAAAATACCCACACACCGTTACTAATGCCGTTAAAATTTTAAGAATTGCCGTTAGTTCACCGTTAACTTACTCATTGATTTCAATAGAAAAAGGTCTTAGGTTCGAATCTCATCCCAATCAAAGTTGGCATAATTAGTACTCTATTTTACCCTTATTAAATTATATAAATAATAATTTAGTAGTTACAACAAAAAATAATACATATGCATTTCTTTAATTTATAATTATGTGTCCACAATGCCTTTATTCAAAAAAAAAAAATTATTCATTATCAATAAATTAACTAAGAGAAATAATTTTATTAGTTATATTGTCTTTATTTTTCTTCAATATAAAAATTTTTTATATTCAAATTTATTAATTGATTATATTCGCTACATTATCCTTACAATGTCTTTATTCAGTGAAAAAAAATTATTAATTATCAATAAATTAATTAAAAGAAATATTTTCATTAGTTATATTGTCTTTATTTTTCTCAAAAGTAAAAATTTTTACATTCAAATTCATCAATTGATTATATTCACTACATTATCTATTATCTTTTTTGTGCACTATTTTTCTAATTAAATATCAAAGTTATAATACAAAATAATGCTATATATTTATTTACCAAGTATTTTATTAATACCATGAAAAAAATTAAAAAAACATAATTAATAAAGCCAACCATATTAACTACTTGAGAGATTTTGTGACAAAGAGAGTATTCAAATCACACAACAAATTGAAGTGAGAACTACCTCGCAATGTCCTTGTTTGACAATCAGCAGTTAGGGGTTAGCGTTAGCGGATTATACTAGCGGATTTGACCAGCGAATTTATTTAATTATTAACATTGGGTAGAAAAAATGACCACCAAATTATTAAATCAAATGAATGGTTCATATTGTTCAGGTTTTAACTTTTTTCTTTTAAGATTTTCTAATTTATCCTTAATTATATGATTATCCATTTAATTTTTCCGTTAATTCACCGTTAGTCTAATTCTAATATTAAAGTCTAATATAGAATTATAACTACACCATTAATCTAATTCTAATATTAAAGTCTTAATAGAACTTAACCACAAATCCTAATGCCGGAATCTCCTCAAACAATATTAGTATATATTTAATATTTTATGCCCTAATTGTTATTTGTTCTCCCTTATGTTCCGTATTTGGTTTCAATCATACCTATACAATTATTTTATTGACAATTATAATCAATCTTGACTATATTATCTTGCATTTGTAAACTTAGAATTACCTATTTAACCCGCACCGACTTAGCTCAATGGTTTAGTGGATAGTATTTGGGAGAAGAGACCAAGGTTTGAACCTCGGGGGCGGCAGTGCGAGAATTATGTCCAAAGTGGGCAGATTCCTTGTGCGTATCAGCATTTACAACCTCCCACAATGCTCTGTCGGGTCGGAGTGTGGGGGGCCCTTGGGGTTGGAGACTCAACTTTTGGGAGAAGAATTACCTATTTAAATACGCAAATTCAACCTTCAATTATCTATGCATGAACAATTTCAATATAATCCTACCTTAATATACTTTAAAGTACTTATTTAAAAAAAAATTGGGCATTATCTCAATCGCGCAATGCGCGTAAAAAACTAGTATACTAATAAGAGTCCAAGAGAGTTAGGCCTATAATGGGTAGAAAAAATGGCGGTCATGTTTTTTAATCAAATGAATGGCTCAGATTTTATTTTTTTTTCTTAAAATTTCCTAATTTATCCTTAATGAATATGATTTTCTGTTAACTTTTCCGTTAAATATTATCTTTTCCGTTAATTTCTGTTAGTTCACCGTTAACTTACTCATTGATTTCAATAAGAAAGGTCTTAAGTTCGAACATCATCCCAATCAAAGTTGGCATAATTAGTACTCTATTTTACTCTTATTAAATTATAAATAATAATTTAGTAGCTATAACAAAAAATAATACATATGCATTTCTTTAATTTAGAATTATGTGTCTACAATGTCTTTATTCAAAACAAATTATTATTATCAATAAATTAAATAAGAGAAATAATTCCATTAGTTATATTGTATTTATTTTTCTCCAATATAAAAATTCTTTATATTCAAATTCATCAATTGATTATATTTGCTACATTGTCCCTACAATGCCTTTATTTAAAAAAATTATTCACATTATCAATAAATTAATTAAGAGAAATAATTTTATTAGTTATATTGTCTTTATATTTCTCCAATGTAAAAAATTCTATACATTCAAATTCATCAATTGATTATATTCACTACATTGTCTATTATCTTTTTTGTGCACTATTTTTTAATTAAATATCAAAGTTATAATACAAAATAATGCTATATATTTATTTAACAAGTATTTTATTAATACCATGAAAAAATTTAAAAAATATAATTAATAAAGTCAATCATATTAACTACTTGAGTGATTTGTTGACAAAGAGAATATTCAAATCACACAACAATTTGAAATGAGAACTACCTCGTAATGTCCTTGTTTGACAATCAGCAGTTAGCGGTTAGCGTTAGCGGATTATATTAGCGAATTTGACCAGCGAATTATATCAACGATTGGTAAAAAGATATTTGAAAAAAATAGCTGTTTATATTAACATGTAAAATGACCTAAGGGTATACATAATAATAATAATAATAATAATAATAATAATAATAATAATAATAATAATAATAATAATAATAATAATAATAATAATAATAATAATAATAATAATAATAATAATAATAATAATAATTTAAAAAAAAAAATTAAGCCAATCATATTAACTACTTGGGGATTCATTGACAAAAAGAGTATTCAAATCACACAACAAATTGAAGTGAGAAAATATCTCGCAATGTCCTTGTTTGGCAATCAGCAGTTAGCTCTTCAATATTAGTATATATTTAATATTTTATGCCCTAATTTTTATTTGCTCTCCCTTATGTCCCGTATTTGGTTTCAAGTATACCTATGCAATTATTTTATTGACAAATTATAATCAATCTTGACTATATTAACTTGCATTTGTAAACTTAAAATTGCCTATTTAAATATTCAAATTTAATATTCTATTATCTATGCATGAACAATCCAATATAATCTTGCCTTAATATACTTTAAAGTACTTATTTAAAAAAAATATATTAGGCATTATCTCAATCGCGCAATGCGCGGAAAAAACTAGTACTATACTAATACTAATATAAGAGCCCAAGAGAGTTAGGCCTATAATGGGCAGAAAAAATGGCGG